GAGGCGCCGTGAGGGGCGGCCGCGGCCGCCGCCTCCTCCCCTTGTAGTCAGGCAAACACTCTCCTTTTCTTCGCTTTTTCTCTTTTGTCTCTTTACAAAACGTGCCATTAAAACGCCGGGTGGGGGCCTCGGCAAGATTCAGCCTCAGACGAAGGAATCCGATAAAGGAGATTAAAGTCTATTCTTCCGGCTGGGCTGTGAGGGAAAGTTTAGCTGCACGGCAAATTAAGGGATATATTTATTTTTAGGAGCTATTCCCCTCTCCTTTGCCTCCCTCCAGCTTTTTTCCCGGTGATAAATCACGGAGGTCTATAAGCCACCTTGACGAACGGGATAACCTCTGAGAGAAGTATCTTTTTTTTTTAATAAAACCCCTCACCTATGGGCTGTAATGGATGCTCCAGGAAAATAAAGATGTAATGTAACTGCTTGAAGGCAGGTGTGAGTGAAAATTGTTATTTTTCGGGAAATAGGGCTGCGGGATGCTGTAATCACTGCTGGTAGGATGAAGCAAAGCTGCGATATAAAACGTCAAAGCCCCGCTTGCAGGCGTGTGCCAGGTGTCTATTTTGGGAAATAGGGTGGGTTGGGTTTTTCTTGCCTTTTTTTTATTTATTTTTTTTTAATAACCCAGTGTATCACTTGCAGCCTGGTAACACGCTTGCGTAACCGGCTGCATCGATTTCGCCTTGCGTTATCGAAAACACAGCATGCTTTAAAAAGAAATCGTGGTGCTGGGTGGTTCAGTTTTGCAGGAAAAACGGAGAAAAAGGAGAAAAGTGCAATATCTTTTTTTTTTTTTTTTTTTTTTACATCCTGCCTGTGCTGCGTAATGAAGCCGGGGAAATTCAGAGCTTGGGCTGTTCCCAGAGGAATCCCTGCTGGTTTCTCCCCCTGTCCTTTAGCCAACAGGATCACACCACTTTTCATTTAAGAAATGTTAAGTTTTTAGGTTGTGTTGAAGACAGGGAAACGCATCCAAATGCTCTTCAGGGAAGGATGACGTTGCAGCAAGCCAACTGGGATATGGTTGCAATTAACCCGGATCGACCAAAGAAAAAACCCCAGTTTTCCTCCATCTTTGGGAAAAAAAAAAAAAAAA